ACTAAAGAAAGAAACGCCGGAATTCCAGCATGTCTAAATGCCACGAGACCCCAGCCGGGGAAAAGAACGAAGGGCGTTTGGTCGCAAGAGGACATCCTCTGGGCCACCGCGACGCGTGTGCGCGGAAACCTAGGACTCGGCTGGACCGCTCCAGGCCTCAATCTGTTCTCAGAGGCCACGGTTCTGTGTATGTGCATACCTCCCCACGACCCGTTTTTGAATACGCGTGGTGAATGCTCGCGAAAAAACGCGAGCGCCCAAATGCTCCAGCCCTGCTGGCTCTGCGCGATGGGGCTCTAAATGCCTGCCAGAAAGTGAAGCTTGCTCGAAAGCAAAGTCGAGAAAGAGGGCCTTCCCCAGGCAATTCTAGCCGCCGGCGCGCAGACCGACAAACGACACCGCTACAGAGCACATTCCTCCTTCCTCGGGCGTTTGCTCACTCGAGAATCTGGACGGCGGCCCGGACCCCACCCGCTTTCAAGGCGCTGGCTTCCCTTTTCGGCTGAAAGCCACTGGGACTCTCTCTCTCTCTCTCTCTCTCTCTTTCTTTTTGCGCTGAATGGGGAAAAGCAAGGCGGGAGCTTCAGTCAACCAATCAGAGGGCGGCGAGGGGCAGCGCGGTTGCGCTGGGCTGTGTAACTATCGGCTGAGCTAGTGCTGGGTTGGGTCCCGTAGGGGCGAGAAGGGTAAGTTACGCCCGGCCGGAATGCAGTATGACCGAAGCAGCCAGAATTCCCCGTAGGACTACGGGTTCCACCTTCTTGCATCCGCTTAGCGACCAGTTTGGCATCCCCCTCGACCAGGTGAGGTAACTCGTCTCGCCTTCACTTTGCAATGAATGGTCAAGGGCGTGCGAGGGGGCAGCAGAAAGCGACATTTCGGTGATTGCCGGCACGAGGTAATAGCTGTTGGTCATCTGCGTCGCTCTCCCTTCTGCTAGAAAGGGAGAGTAGCGCTCAGTGGCCACAGGTTTTAGGGTAAGGCAATGTTTCTCTCGACTCTGTATGTTTCTTTCCCGGCTCTTGGTGGGAGGCACCTGGCAGGAGGTTGGGGTCGTCGCTTTTTTTGGGATCGGTTGTGGCAAAAAAAAAAAAAAATAATCCACATATGTTTACTCAGAAGTAAGTCCTGACTTGCAATCTTAAGCCTGCAGGGTGGGTTAAAGATGGGCTCCCATTTGCAAAGGTTGAAACCTAGTAATAGGATAGGATGTGATTTAATTTGAGTCTAAGAACTACTCGGTGGACAGAAGGGGAAACAGTGAATGAGGAAACATTGGGTTCCCGAATGAAGTGCAGGAAATAGTGACAAAAGGGGGGAGGGAGATGTTGTGTTGGCACAGCACCCTGCTGAAGATATATATTTTTTCTTTATTAATCACATATCCAACCTCTTTATCCACAATCTGCCTTGATTTTGCATTGTAAAAGAATACGGCAATGTTAAAAAAACAAAAAAACTGGCAGTGCTGTAAATATAAATTCTTTTTTCCTTCTTCGTGGCAAAACCATCCATACTCAGACAGGTCTCTGCTGCTCTGAGGTGAAGATAGGCAAAACTCAGGGGAAAGAGGGACTTCATTAAAAGTCTTGTTACTTTTAATGAAGTCCCCTGATAAGAGTGCATAGGTTTATTCATATAAAATATTTTTATCCTGTCTTTCCAGACTGAAGTGTAAATTACTATATGCAAATATATATCTGTATTGCTTTGGGCAGGTGGGAATCTTATCAGTTCCACTGAGTATTATGAGGCTTGCTTCAAAATAGTTGTGCATGGGACTGCAGTTGACTTTTGATTATAAAGTGCCAAGGCTTTGCTTCAATTGCATTTGTTTTGCTACAAAGACACTTAACGTATTGTATTTAATATCCTTTCTAAAGCTCTTAGTTTCAATTCTGTACTTACCGAAAGTCATGATTTACAGTGTCACAGTGTCACTGTGTTATATGAGTGCCAGCAGAGGGAATTTTTGATATCTTTAGGCTCTGTTCATATGTTACACTAATCCAAAAATCTTGGTTAATATGTTGGCTGCCATTTACATCGTGGTACGTGGTGTACTTTAACCAAGCTTTGTGACTTATTGTGTCATCCAGTGTCAGCCATACTAGGTAGACCACACCAGGAAATCAACTCCACCAGAAGGTTAAGACTTCTTTTATTGATATTGGCTATAATAACAGAATCTTGCAAGTCTGATTGTGTTGTGCCCCCTCCTCCTCCTCCTCCTTATAATTCAGTGAATTAAGGAGGCTGAGTCGCTTCTGAATGTTATCTCACTGTTCTGGACTTAAAAAATGCTTTAGCCCCCATAGCATAGGCAACAGCTTCTGCATAGCTCCATCAAGGTCATTTTCCTTACTGTCCACACCCAAATCTGAAATAGCCACTGGGGTTTTGTTGTTGTTGTTTTTGCAAAATTGGACTTTGTAATCAGACTTTAGTAGGCTATGAAGTTTTCTTTGTACAAAACCGATATGTTAGCCATCTCAGGTACAGACAGGACAGTAGGCCTCAATCTTGCTTAAATTCAGTGCATGATGAGGTTGAGTAAATAACAGTGTGCTCCCAAGTTTTTTGGCTTAGTATATTGTATGACTACTTCTTACAATGGAGAAGTTGTGACCTTGATTATACTCCTACTAGGTGCTTAGTTTTAAAAAGCTACTCAAGATACATACCTGCAGTTTTGTCATAATGCGCACTCACAATATACCATATCATGGTCTGGCCTAGGGTTTTGACACTTGTCAAGCTTATTATGCAATTGTTTGTGTGACAATGACATTACAACAGTTTTTAAGATCTTGAGAAACAAGCTTTTAGTTTGGTTACAAGTATTTAACTGAATAGCTTTACTATGTGCTTACAAGTTTTTAATTTATCAAACCTACCAAGATTTTGGATGTCTTCATGATCAAATTGTCTCAGATTGTTATGCTAATTTTTTGGCAACTCTTGGAATAATGCTTAATCTCAAACTATTAGATCAAAGCTACTGTTTTGCTCAACAGCAGCATTTAATCTGATTTGTTTTATGTGTTGTTCTGCTATAAATTTCTGGGGGAGATGGGCAGCATATACATTTAATAAATAAACAATTAAAATAAAAATAAACGCATATTCGGAGTTGGAACATTTTTTTTTTTTTTTTTTT